CTGTATCCTTGGGTTTACAATATAGTAGAACATGAAGTAGGAGGCAAAGGTAAAGTTAAGCAAAGCAATTTGCACATTAGTGCTTGATGTTTCATTTATGTTGTCATTCCTGAAAACCAAGATGAGTTCATTACCCCCGAAAGAGATGGCCCTGTCATCATCACAGGAAAACAATCCCCAATGGCCGCTGTAAAGAAGGAAGCTTTTCACCACAGGGAAATGGTATTCTCTTATTGCCTGCTTTTTCTTCACAGGATAGGTGGCCTTGATAACCTCTTTGAGGATTAGCCCAGCTGGTCTTGGAGATAGGAGGTTGCAGTTGACAATAAAGTACACGTGTTTTATTGAGGCTTGCTAATTCTGAGGCTCAGATAATGAGGATGTCTAGCCAAAGTTTTGATGGCTGAATATTTAGCCTAGGAGCTTCTCTTTCTCAAGTGGAACTTCAATGCTTATCATTGCCATTTTAAACAACCTTATTAATCCTAACTTTTGCCTTTAATGTGTTTGAGGGGATTTGAAATGCAGTTGATTAGACTGTTATGCTTTTAATTAAAAATGGGGATGAGGAATTCAAGCTTGCTTTGCTGCTTGCTTCTATTTCCCCTTCACCCTTTCTCTAATTATTTAATTTTGAGTATCCTCATCCTCCTTATGATCTACATGTTATTGCACTTGTTTTCTTCTCTTATTTTCTTTGTGTGGTTAAGGAGAAAGGGACTGATCAGTTGCTTCTGAAGAAACAGATCTCAGTCAACTCTGTCAACATAGGATCTCTCACAACATACAACATAATGCTGGAGCTGAGATCACTATTCATAAAATAAAGCAAAACCTGTCAGCTTTATAGGGCAGTCCAGACAAGAGGTACACCCAGAACTACTAACTTTATTGGAAATTAACACCTGACTGCCAAGGCCATTCCCACATTCCAGCACAAAATCTATACTGCATCTGGCTTCACTAATCCAAACCTGTGGTCTCATTTTTTGGAACTCAACCCAAATTTCTAAATGATGGCTCTTCTTTTCTTAAACTGGCCTGTAGCCAAGCACAGAAAATTCCCCCACGTCCTGTTCAGAGAAAGAGGAAGGTGAAAAGGAAAATTGCTCAGTCAAGACCTCCTGGCTGCATCTGCTAAATGTATGGAGCATAGTGAGTTTTAATTACATGTGTCTTTTGTCCATTGTATATGTAAATGCAGCCCTCTAGCTTACTTTATGGTCCAATGTATTGTGAAAACTCACAAAATGGATTAATCTAATAACAGTACCTTGTACATACTTAGTTTTTATGGTATATACTGAAATAAGTAACCATATACACTAAACTAAGCACAATAATACTTAGGTGAACCATATTTTGTATAGGGATACCTAAGCTTCATCTACTCCAGAGACTTCAATTACTGCATTCCTGTATTTCATCCAAGGGCAAAAACATAGATATTATCTCTCAACAATGAACTTAGGCCAACAGAACAGCCAACATACCTTTTGTCAGCCAAACAGGAGAAGATCTCCAGGAAACACAGAAACAGAAGAAAAACTATTTTATTCTTTTGAATCTACAGTATGTAAAATATAATGCAATGCATCATGTAACATTTATTTATTACAATCTTTTTTACATGTTGTTTACCTTTCAATAGTAGATGAAAAACCTTCCCCAAATCCAAACTGCAACATCTTAAAATCATATGAAATATATAATGCATTACTGTATTGTAATATATAAAATATACTACTATGTTGTAAACACATTCCTGAAATGTGCTATGAAAGAGGGAAATCAACACTCTGAGGTTCAACTAACCACTCCTATAGCCAGAATGTAGGCCAAAATGTCAGCTTGTACCCATGTCTGGTCTTTCTTGTCTTTCACCATCATTACAACAGTCATCTTTATAGGTGCTTTATCTTCTCGAGCTCCTCCCTAAACCATGACCCTGTTAAGAATCAGCCTGGCTGTTCAGATTCAAAAGTTGGATATTTGACCAGTCTGAGTCTCAGCCTGGCCCAAAGAAATTAGCTAAAGAGAGCACACCTGGGGAGACTTAGAACTAGGTTGAATTAGCTGAAAATATACTGTTTTTTTAACGTTTTTAATATTTTATTTGTACACAGTGCAGCATACCTCTGTGTGGGAGATGGGCGTTTTTACAATGTGATGGATTGAAAAGGGGGTAGGGAGAGGGACAGAGAATGACTTGAGTTCAACAACACATTTCAAATTAAGAAGAGCACCAGGAATCAAGTTTTCTGTCTGAATTAAAGAAGCATGACTCCACAAATTAAGTCAGAGTGGTAGGAAAAGACACAGCAGCTTAAACTGCTTGTTGGTACAATCAATATTCCATCACTTTGTTTTCTTCCCTCTCTGTGTTATGCTTTGGATGTTGTTGGATTATCTGTTTGGAATTTGGATTGGAACCTGTTTTCTCTGCTCTTTCTTGGATCATTGCTGATCCACTATGCTATCTGAAAAGTAACCTTTTGTGTTTTCATTCTTTAAGGTTATAGTTTGCAACATGTTTATATTCTTACAATTAAGGATTCATGACTGCAATAAATATCTTGCTTTTTTTAAATCAAAAGCTACTTATTTGTTTGTAATTGCCACCACAGAAAAGACTGCATCCCCCAGTTTCTTAGAAAAGTCACTTGGGAGCAATACATTGATGGTATTCAACAGGTTCTGATCAGTTCTGGAGAACCCGTAGCGGAAATTTTGAGTAGTTCAGAGAACCGGAAAATACCACCTCTAACTGGAGATTTTACAGTGCCCTTCCCCTGCCACACCTATCAAGCCACGCTCACAGAACCGGTAGTAAAAAAATTTGAATCCCACCACTGGAGCAATACCTGAGAATTGCTTTCTTTTTACTGGGAAATTTCCCAAATAACTGTTGGAAAAAATTCAGTTCTATAAGATGACTGGGGGGGTGGGGGGGTCATCAATTTAATGTGTCTGTTCTCTACACAACCGATCAATGGTGGCTATGAATATCACAATAATTGGTTGTTGACCAGTGCATGACAACCAACTGATGTTAATGTCCTCTACTCTCAGATCACAAACAAATTTCAATGAGGTGAAGAGCAGACTGACTTGGACTACAGGAGTTAGTACTGTTATGATTTAGTTGTCTTGTAGCCATGAACTCCTGAGTTCACTGACTCGACCTTTATGGAGTGGAGGTCCTCCAGCACAAATAACTTGCTAGAGTCAACCTTTAGCATGGCAATGAGTCTGAAGAGATCAAGGAAGGGGCAAATTGCTGGTATGCCAGCAAAAACTTCCAGCTACAGATAGGATTTCAACCTAGTCACCTGCAGAACAATACAGAGTCTCAGGAAATTATTAGCACCACCATTCCCTCCTATTCTGGAGTTGAGGTTAGGGTACAGAGAGATTACTCCATCCGTCCCTTGCCAGGTCTCAGTGAAACATGCCACATCTCCAACATCATATCATGAAAGAGCAAATCTTTTTACAAATCATTATGGCATTCCTTAGACTCAACCCAAGTCTAAAGCTTCCTGTAATCTGGCAACAAAGAACATGCTGGGTTGGATTATATCAGTCAAAAGATGGGAAAGAAATCAGATGTCTTCTTCCCCCTTCCCCTGTAACCAACAGATCCCTGCCCATCACCTCCACAGTCCTTTTATTACTCTTCAACCTTTCGAGCATCCTCCTTGCCCCTTCACCTAATCACCTCCCCTCATTTGCATCATTTTAACAGCCTACCTGCAGCTGTTCTAGCAGATAAAAGCAGGCTGGCCCTTCTCAGAAAAACTCCAGGTTTTAGCCTTCCCACTTCCCTCCCTGCCGAGGAGACACATTTACACTCCCAACTCTTATTCTCTGAACTACTTCCTCATGCATAATTTGAAGACTTGACTAGTTTTTAAAGCTAGTTGATAAAGATGATCCCTCTAGAAGAATATTTATATGCATCCATTACTTGGCGATGTCTTATATCGTTAGAGTAGCATTTGCTAAAAAACCTTGCATATGCCTGCCTTTGATCCCTGATCTCATTTGTGATAACTGAAATTTTAACATTCTTAGTTCTTTTGAAAATGATTGGATTGTTGTCCTTGACATATTATGGTTCACTTGGGAAGAACAAACATGTAGTTGATGATGTTTGGATCTGTTTGTTCACGCCAGCGCATATTTTATGAGACGTTTAAGGATAACTTTAATATGCTTATTATAAATTCAGTTTATTTGTTTGTAAACATTAAATTAAATATTGTTCTGATTGATCTCCTGAATATTTTTAGTTTTTTGGTTTTGTTTTATTTAAATCCTTTTCAACTGAAGTTGGCCTTACACCCAATTTAAAACTTCTCGATTACCTCAGTAGGATTTATGATACTACTCTGGTTAAAAGTAATAGTTCTTTTATGCTGCTATATCAAGAATTGGTCACATGCATTTAATTTTAACTTGGGTGCTTCTATCTAGTTGCAACTTATTTGTTAAATTTGGGTCTTCTCAATAACTACTTTGCAATGGTCTTTTCAGTATTTGTCTCTTTTTCTTATACAAGTTGTCTGGTTCTGTCATGCACAACATATTTATTGTTTGTGCAAAGCTTTATGAAGGTTTGTACATAATGAAATGTGATTTAGAATTCTGTTAAACCGGATATTTCATCACTAATTTCCTTCTCTCTTTGGTTTAGGTTAATATAAAACAGTAACAGTCCTATATTATAATATTATAACATGACATAATGTTAATGGCAATCTGTGCTGTCAAGTATTTTATTTGGCAAAGATTACAGAGTCTTTAAATGCATGCTGTTATTTGGTAGAGCTCAGAAAAATGGCATCTCTTTCATCTTGGATATCTTCACTTTGAAGCTTCTGCTTTGTTGTAATGCTGTTGCTACCCCTGTCAGGTTTGAGTGTACCTTTAGTGCAAAATTCAGTTTAGCTGATACATCAAATGATTCTTGTTATTTTGTTTTCTTTCTGCAAAAGGGAATTCGTTTTGACCCAGAAATCCCTCAGACGCTCCGACTAGAGTTTGCAAAGGCCAATACGAAGATGGCTAAGAGCAAATTAGTGGGCACTCCTAATCCCAGCACTCCTGCCACCCCCAATGCAGTACCTCAGTTCATTACCAGAGAGCCATGTAAGTGATGGAGTTTCATTGTTAAATTAGAAAAGTGCATCTTCAAAAGCAGAATGTTTAGCAAACAGCATGCTTAGCTTTTTCAACAGTTTTATTTCTGTTTTCCTTGTTGCTATGAAAATGATGAATATGGGGTTCTTGGTTTGGGTTTTTTTTCAGTCGATGGATCATTTGAATGCTTTTCTCAATGCCTATGTAGGCCACTGGCATGCAGCTTCTCCTTCAACCTCAAAACAAAGCTTTGGTTCTCTGAAGAAATCTTGTCATTTAATCAGGGATTTATTCACATTCCGTAACATGGGTAATATTTATGGAGCGTTTCTAAGAAAAAAACTATAAATTACAGCAACAATCTGTGTCTTAGAATGAATTGCACCATGATGTGTGATGGAAATGTGTACATTTGAGTTGGATGTGTATGTTTTCCTAGTCATGGGTGTCCACAGAGGTTTCTTACTTTCATAAAAATGTTGGTTGAGGCTTGCAATGCAGCACAGATTTTGTCAGTTTCACCTTCCTTCTTGGACATCGCTGCTGTACACAGTCATGGCATTTCTTTTAAATCTTCGGTCAAGTTGCTTTTTTCTTCCTAGACACCTAGTGAATGTGTCAGGGAATAAGAGAAGAATATGGAAGAGTAACTAATAAAGCAAGGATGTAGAGGCTAAGTTTTATGAATTGTTCTTGCATAGAAACTTCCATGTATATATCAGGGCATTGCTTACAAATTACCTAGAGTCAGAATGCATAATCAAATGACCAAGCTTGCTAGTGATGACAAATCATTCAAAATGGCAAATTTTTTCTTATGAAAATATGCTTGCAAATTTGCATGACTTGCAAAGAGAACACGTCCACACTGCATTTCACTTTGCTGTATGAGTAGCTTATTAAGATGGAACAGCTAAAGATTTTGCTGTTGCTTCAGGTAGCAACAAAATTACATCTATCGCACCAACAGCATTTTTTGTTTGCTTTAGAACGGCAAAGTAAGGATGATACTATGGTGTGATGTTATATATCAATTCACAGAATTAATAGAATTGTGGAGTTAGATCAGACCTCTGCAATATATGAAAACTAATTAAACTATCTGGTTTAACCCTCATCTTAACAACTTCCAAAGATGGAGAATTAACCTCTATTAGTAGTCTGTTTTATTGTATACAGAATTTACAGGCAGGGAATTTTTCTTTAGATTTAAATGAAATTTTAAATGTAAGTATACCCATTATTTTGGGTCCCATACTGATATTAATATCATGTCTCCCCTCAGTCTTATTTTCTTTTCCCCAATTTGCAGAACTCCACATAAGGCATGTCTCCAGATCTCTTTTATTACCTTTGTTGTCTTCCACTGACCTTTTGTATCTTGTCAATATACTTCTGGAATGTGATACCCAGAATTGTGGAAGGTACTCCAGATGTGATCTCACTGCTTGTCATTTACCCTCCTTCCTGAAATTTATTTAGGAATTTATTCTTCTTTGTTTTATTAGGAACTATTTTTCCTCCTATCTAAGATAATCTCATACTCTGTAGTTAGAAATATTGATTTGTGAACAGCTCTGACTATTATCAGGGACTACCAAATTTGCTAATAAATACTTCTATAAATCACATCCCATATGTTCCTTGGCTGGCTATTTGCTGCTGTGTATAGACTAGAGTATGCAGTCATATAGTGTGGAATTATGGGGGTTCTGAAAAGAAAATTTGAAACTAAGCAACAGATCTGGTATATGTGTTTATGCAAATTTGCATATTTTTCAGGTTTATAGTTTGCTTGTTAGAATTATGAAAGAAGTAGCTTGAAAAAGCAAATAAAATGTTCAGACATTTAAGACATCCAGTTTTGGTAAAGATTTTATATAATGGAATGACTGAAATGTTATCTTTGTAACTGGAATCAAAAAATAGTTCTTGCTCACAATGTGCTTGTTTGTTTCCTTTGCGGCAGAATTGTCCCTGAACAATTTTGCATGACTTTAGTTTTGCCAGAAACAGCAGTAGGACAAAATAAACAAGAGAACAGACCATAAATAACTATGAGTTTTATCATGCTGCCTTAAATTCTCTTAAAACTCTCTTCTATCTTCAGTAGATCCATGTAGTTTAAAATCACAATAGAGAATGTGCACCTTGATCTGACAATTATGGTTTTGTTAATAACTCAGTTTAACTTTTTCAGAACAGCTTTGATAACTTGCACACCCCAGTTTCTTTTTATTTTCACAATTTAGTTTGAAAGTTCCCTTAAGAAGCCTAAAGTTAATGTTTATTGTAGTAGCATTCATATTTTACTCCATCTTTGTATATTGCACTGGGTAGGTTCTTTGCTTCCCCAGAAGCTTACAACTTAAATGTCAGCAGAGAAAAGTCCACAGAGAAAGAATGAAATGCTAGAGGCAAATCTAATAGAAGAAAGTGTGAGTACAGCTGCGTTGTTTTGAAAGTTTCCAAACATTTTATTGGAATAGAAAAGAGACTGGGAGCTTGGGTGTACAAAAATGCTCCTTGATGTTGCTTTCTTGTTAAACTCCTCCCATGTGACATCTTATGGATGAGGTTAGGAAATGGTATGAGTGTATTTATTAGCTTGTTCCCTTCCCAACCTTAGGAATGACCACAGCCTTTGGAATGGATGATAAAGGGAAGGTTGCTTGCTTTAGCTCTTGCCAACCTTTTCTTGTTTATCTTACTTTCAAATTTATAGCGTTCATGCTTAATGTTTTATATAATTAATACGCATCTTTGTCAGCTCCACTGAAATGAAACTCTTGAGGCTATTCTTGAATGTTTCTCTGTTGTTGGCATAGGGCAGGCTGCGAAAAGAGAGGATTTTAAACAAGTGACATAAAGCTGGTTCTAAACGAAGTCTCTTGCAGTGAGTTTCTCTTTTGTCCATTGATTAGACACTTGCCACCACATTAGGGATATACAAATTGTAAAGCAATACTATCAAGAAGGATCAGGAAGGCAGCTCTCTACGAAAGATAAAAAGAAGGGGAACCTACCACAGGCCAAAACCTTATTCTTGGGTTGCTGTTCTCAAAAGTGTGAGGAGAAGTTGGAACAGCTTTTCCCATCAGCTGCTTCCTATTACTGTTGTCTCTCCCAGTTGTTCTGTTTCGTGGGATATCTCTTGCAGGGTTTCAATAGATGCTGTACTGTATAAGTCATTAATGGCAGATTTGTGATAAAGTCATGTTCCACTGTTTTGTATCAGTTCAGAAATGCCAATAGTTTGTGACAAAGCAAAATTGAGATTGAACTAAAGCTAAGTAAAGATTCTTTTTCTAGTGACTCTTGTCATATATCTTAGTACCTCTCAGAAAAGACAAGCAACCTTACATATTTTATCCTGAAGAGCTGCTTTTGCTGCTGTAAAAACAACTGATTCTTACATGTTTTCCATTTTTGCTTGTGGTATTTGATAGATAGAGATGTTTGTTCGATAGTGCACTGAAAATGACAGGCTCAGTGATGGAAAGGGTAAATTAGTGCCAAGGATTATTAGGGAAGAACTTGATAATAGGCAGAGATACTAGCATAACTGACAAAATTGCTTTGGAGTTACTGCATATTGTTTGCCCCATGTCAAAAAGTAGATCATAGAATTGGAAAAGTTGCAGAAAAGGGCAGTTACAATGATGAGTTGGTTATAAAAACTTCTGTTCAAGGAAAAAATGAAAAAAATGAAGTTGATATCATGATTCATTGTGGCTACTTTTTGTCCTTGTTTCCAAACAAAGCAAGAAGAAGCACTGGCTTTAGGTTGTTGGCCCTGATAAATAAGTTTGAGCTTGAAGGTTTTTAATATTGCAAAATTAGAACCACATAAATGTACTCCTTGTTCTGTGATTAGCACTTTGTATGCTTTGTTTTGATATATTTAGATTCCGCCCCACTCCTCCTGATTCTTAATAGTTAATTATTTTCATTAGGTAGCTCACATGAGGTAATTATTGATTAAGGATTAAAGTTCATTTCATTTCAAAACAGCTGAACAGATTTACAATGACAAAGCCATTGGGATTTTAAAGGTTAAATTGTGCCAAGTAAACAATAAACAACCAGACTCAATGCATTAAAGGCTGCTTGTTTAAATGGATGCAAATTTTTGATATAATACAACAATTGATAAACAGTTACAGGAATTTCAATAGAAAAAAAATATCACATTGAATATTAGGAGAAAATCTGGTTTTATTGCTGGTATATTAGCATTGATGACTAAAATGGATAGTTCATTGTCTAACAATTGTTGGAAATGTAATGACCAGGCTGGATTATGGTTCTATATTGGATTGCAATGTTGCAAAATTCAATGATTTCTGAATGGGATTTATAAATAACAGAATGAAACAAAGTTTAAATGCTGATTTTCCTTTCCAACTTGATACTTTTAATTAAATATTACTTTTCCACACAGTACACTGAACTAACTTTGTGCATGATAATTGCTCATAGATACTTTATGCTTCCTAAACAGAAATCCTACAATTCTTAATCTCATTTTATGATTTTTGTAATGTTTTTGGTATTGATATTTAATGTAGATATTTGATACTGATACTTGGATTTTGGCAATATGTGGTAGTTTAAAAATATTGTAGTATATTTAGATATTTAGAACTAATCAAAGAAATATTTTTAAAAACCTATTTCTCTCATGCCTACAAATTTCCTTTTTATTCATCTTGTATACATTTCATTCTTTCTTCTTTTGTTGGTGTGTGTGTCTTTTCCCCCTTTTCCTTTTTTCTCTTCTTAAAAATGTTTAATAAAACATTTTCTGAAAAATAGTGCAGAACTTTTCGGTCTAGGTGTCATTGATTTTTGCATTTTATACCAACTTTTAAAGAGTTTCCTAATATATCCATGTAGAACAAATTGCAGTAATCAAAATGGGATGTAACTAAGGTTAGATAATCTGATTAGTGACGGAAGGCTCACAACTGGCCAAAGCATTATTGACAAATCCAGTGATAGCTGAG